TTTGAGGTATATAATTCGTTTGTCTCGATCAATTGAATTTTCGTTGCTAAGTAGAATTGCACAGTCGATGCACCGACATCGATGAACTTACACGCTTTCGTGATAAATGAAATGTATTCTCGTCGATGCATACGCTATTTCCGAAATACATACGGACGAGGAAAATATTGAAAAAGAGAAGTGAAATGAAAAATTAATAAATAAAGTACGTGGTAAATAATGTTACATATCATAAGATTATAAAATTCTGTACGTTAACGTAAAATAATCTTTATTTAATGTAATGTACGTTAGCGTAAAATAATCTTTATTTAATCTCTCAAAATAGCTATCCTTTTTTTTTAAAGAATTCGTATTCGCGAATTGCTTGATGGATGGTAATAAATAAACAAAAAGTTTCCAATAAGAAAGGAATTCTTTACGAATTAATTTGTACATCTGGACGTTTTTACTTTAATATATACACGTATTTTTACACGTGGAAACGAGAATAGAAAGTTTCGTATAAATCGCTTGATATCTGGAATTATTCATGTTACAATATTTCCCGTGACACGTTCCGTTCAATTATCAAACATTTCCACGCAGTAATGGAAAAAACATATTTGAATTCCGTCCTAATTAAACACAGAAAATAGATTATTAAAGCAAGCAAAATGGATTAAACGTAATTTAAAATTTATCCGCGTGCAGGGCAATCATCATTCTGCTAAGGCAGAATAATTCGTGTCTGCTCAATGGAAACAACACGATCAAACAAAAATTAATATGATTCCTTCGTTTTACTCGACGCTTGATCGAATTAACTGGAGCGTTCACTGGCAGTTTCGTCGGTGTGCAATTTCATGTGTTTTTAATTGAGCGCGTCTCGGTCGTACAGTTTAAATATTCATAAGAAATTGACAGTTTACGATTTATACGAAGGAAAGAACCTAAAGGAAGGAACGAGTAGTGCAGATTACCTTAAATTATTTTGAAAATTATTTTCATTCGTAGTATAAATTCATCTGAAGTTTTTGCTCAAAATGTAGACAGATTAATCAGATTTTGCGTGTTAAGAAAGTAACAGCGAAGGAAAAACAATTGAATTTAACGTTACATTATGAAATTATGATCCCTAAATTTTTACGTTTCAGTCCCCATTCTGTTTAAACGGAATATTTCACTCTGTCGTGTCAGTAAATACAAAAGAATTTTTTAAATTCTGCTTCGATCAGATATTTGATCTTGTTCACATACGTTACAACAGTTTCGTTTCGACACTTGGTACAAAACGTATTTCTAAACCCTGTGTTCTGTGATCTGACACCGTTTGCCCTTGAAAATTTTTTATTACCCTTTCGAATACTGAAATTGTGATAATTTCTCTATTATTATTAATCTGTTTAATTTACGAACGTACGTAGCCTACATACACAAGGTGCGAAGAGTTCACTTAGCAGGCAGAAGCTGGAAACAGATGTGAAAAATGATATATCGGGTGTGGTTGTTGCGTCGCGTCTTCCCGTGACATTCGATTTCCGGTATCGCACGCGTCCCACTGCTTGACACCGAGAAATTTCGGTACGATCCACTAGACGCGGCATGCGAAAAATGGATTTCTTTGAGCTTAATGTCGTGATCATATTTCGCGACACGTGGCACGAAATTTGCGTCTCTCGCGCGGAATATTGGTCGGATAGGAATATATGAAATTCATGCATGTGTGTCCTCTATTCAGCAGAATCTGTTTTATAAAGAAAGAAAGGAGGGAAGAAAGGGAGTATCGTTGAAGCATCAACGTCAGCTACGTATGATACGGAATTCCAGTAAAATTCGTTCGAGCGAGATTCATTGATGAATCGATTGATAATTAATCTTCTTTAGATTAGTCTTTTTTTTTTTTTTTTTTCTTTCACCCGACGCAACAGTCGTGGCCGTTTGTGAAAATTCACGGATCTGTGATTTTTTTTTTTTTTT